TATACTCATCAACTTCAGGGCTAGAAGGCACGAAGTGCCTGGAAGCCCCACTACCTTTTTTTTTTTTTTTTTTTTACCGTATATTATTTTTTAAGCTATCTTATTTTTTGAACTTTTATTCAAATCTTTGGTCGCAAGAAGAATTGCATGATAAATAAAAACATTTAATCAAAGTCAATTTTATTTTTCATATTCAAATGGACTGAGTGTTAACATTTAACATTTTTTTGCTAATTGTCGTCAAAAATTAGGCGTAAAGCAAAAATTGATATTTCATATGGTTTTATGATAGATAAGCATTATATTCCCACTCATTATATTCGTAAATTTTGAGGTTTATCCTTCGCTTTTAAGATCATTGAATTTGATTTTTATATAAAATAGTTATATATTAGAAAATAATATGAGTTTATGTGATATTATTTTTCAGAAGATTTCATTCTATATGCCTATGAAAAGTACTCTCAAAACTAACTTTTTCCTAATTATAATTAAATCTAGAATATTGTATTATGCTTAGTATTATTTCATTTTTCTCATTCAATTTAGAATTTACAAATGTCAAAAAATTGAGAGCTGTCACTTTTGATGAATTTCTGTTTATTACAGAGACCACTTAATACATTGAAATATCATAAATAGTGAAATATTAAAAAGTGTATTTCAAAATATTGAAATTATAAAAATTTATAATACTGAAATTGAGACAAATTAATAAATTCAATGTGTTTTTTTTGAAATAACTCTCAAATATTATTTTTTTGTTTATTTAATGATGAATAAATATGATTGCTTTAGTCAATCATAAAAACTAATTTAAGTTTAAAATAATGAAGAGATTGGGACAAAGTTGCAATTCGGCACTTTTTGTAAAAAAAAATGGGGTCATACTCATAATGAATAGAGACTTATAGCCAAGTCTTGATATCATGAAAAAAAAAAAAAAAAAAAAAAGGTAGTGGGGCTTCCAGGCACTTCGTGCCCTCTAGCCCCGAAGATGTTTAGTATAAATGAAGTTCTTATATACGGGTCTTCCAGGAGCTTTTCACAAATTATATATGTTTTCATGTTTTGTCAAGACTTCTTCGTAAAATCAGACAAAAATAATGTTTAGGGTAGAAGGTTAGATATAACCTCTTTTCTAACCTCTTTTCTACCCTCTTGAATTTTCAAGACTTCTTCGTACATGTTTTGTCACTTTTCTGTCACTTTTCAGGAAAAAACATTTTTATTATATATATAAAATGAATTTTACAAAACCACCGTTACCCTTCTTTGGAAATAAGAGTAGATGTAAAGATATTCTATTGAGAGAACTTAAGAAACTACCGAATGGTCTAACATTTGTAGACTTGTTCGGTGGAAGTTTCTATATATCTCATTTGTGCCATACAATATTTCCTGACTCAAAGATTATATGCAATGACTTCGACAACTATATGAACCGTCTCAAACATATACCAGACACAAACAAAATATTGAAAGAGTTAAAAGAAAAGATACCTATAGGTAAGATGGAACGTATACCATTAGATAAGAAAAATACTGTCAGAGAGGTTTTGAAAAAGGCAGAGTATATTGACTGGGATAGTATATCTGCTAGACTATTATATAGTGGTGCTATAAGAGTTCATGACATTGAAACACTTATGTCAAAAGTTTTATATCTTAACTATACAAATGTTTTCAAAGAGAACATAGAAAAATATATTGAGGGTATAGAGTTTGTGAGATGTCATTGGACAGAGTTGTATGAAAAATATAAAGACAAGGAAAATGTTTTCTTTATAGTGGACCCGCCGTTCTATAACACATGGGATTTTCAATACCAAGTAGACTGGACTTTGAGAGACTCTTTAGAAACTTTAGACGTTTTACATAACCATCCATGCTTTTACTTTACATCCGATAAAAGTGGTTTGGAAAGTGTCATGAGATGGTTAGAGGACATACATGACTATGAGTTTAGATATGACAAGATAGAATATGAGAGAGGTCCTATAAACTGGAGAAAGTGTCATAACAAAGAAATTTTACTAGTAAGTAAATGTGGTTTGAAATAGGACTACTTGTTTTAGGTTTTTTCCATTGTGTCATTTACTTATTTGACGTGGCAGAAAGATATAGAGAATATGAAGATGAACCAATACCAGCAAATGTTCAGCATATGTACTCGTAAGAGATATTTTTATCTAATATTAAATGGACGCACAGAACTTAGCGAATGCACAGCAACCTGGACAACCAAACCCAGAGAATATTCCAAATGAAGTTAGAATACAAACTGCAATGGCAAACTATGGTCAAGTGCCAACAGATGTACAAATGCAAACTGCCATGTCAAATGACGCTGCGTTAGGTTTGCCACCATGGTATGCAAATATGAGATGGAAAGAGTTTTATACAAACCCTGAAGTGGGATATAAACAACTCTATGCAGATGACGCGAACACAGGAGTTGACCCAGAATATGTTTTCTACCAGAGGAGAAACAGAATGTATGAGCTCCAGTTAAAGAATGCTATGGAACTCAACAGGAAACGTAAGAGACTAGGCGGACATTAGATTTTTACATATAGTAAAATGGGTTTCTTCAGTAAGATAGGAAACTTCTTTCGAAATGTTGGAAGAGGTATATGGAATGGAATAAAATCTGTCGGAAGAGGAATTTGGAACGGAGTCAAAAATATTGGTAAAAGAGTAGGTCAGTTCGTTGGTATTATACCTAAAGACCCTGAACCAGAAGAACAAGCTCCTGTTATACAACAGCCTGAACCTGCACCACAGTCTAGTTGGCAACCAAATCCAACACCTCAACCGTATTAAAAAATTATATTTTTACCGTTCGATAGTAGTTGTATATGAAACTAAGTTCTAAGTAAAACGCATGGTATAATGGAATTATTCTTTTTCTTCCATCTGTAGTAAACCATACTTGAAAGTCTGAAATACTTCCACTTGGTGGTTCGTATAACTTTGTAGGTTTTCGTAAAAGTCATTTGCCAAGCATAAGAAAGAGTTTTGAGCGCCAGAAAATGAAGCATGAACAATAATAGCAGCTGGGTCGAAAACATCTTTAAATAAATATGGTTCATCTCTTGCATATCGACTGTAAATATTTGCTAAAGGAAGTTCGACTTTCTGATTTAACATTCTTTGCAAATAATACCATGACATTGCAGTGAATTCTGTATATATTTGTTCGTCTTTCTTTGGATTGTCTTCGTAGATTTGAAATGACACTTGTGAATTTTGTTTGTCATATACAATTCTCACATAAAGTGTGCTCTCGGTATTTGCATATTCATCAGCATATTTTGCATAACATGAATTTATTTTATCTTCTATTTTTTTAACGCAGTCTGTAGAGAAGATGAAAGGTCAACTTGTATTAGCTCAATTTCTTCCCACATTTTTCGTTTCCCTTCAGATATATAATCTATATGAAACCTTACAATAAATGGAAAACTTTTATCTTCTACAGACACAAACTTCATTCTACGAAAGCCAATAGCTTTTGTGACAGATGGGTCTCTTAACCATCTTAATGGGTAGTCAAAACGATAGCCTTCATGCTTTACGGTCTCTGTCTCAAACTTTTGACCGACATTAGTAAAAAGTTCATCTAATGGTTTAGTTGTAGCAACTCTTGAATTTTCTTTTTCTATTGAAAGCATATTTTATCTAGAATAAAAAATGTCGAAAGAAACAGCGTCTATGAGAGAAATACAACACAACCGACAACTCATTATGCAAGCTCTAAATAAGAACACAACAAACTTTTCAAACTATTCTAAGATATCTGAGTCATTGAAAGAAGGAAACTTAAAACTGACATTAAACCCAATGACAGATGAGTTTCTGTTTCAAGACAATAAGAACCATACTGTCTGTATAAATCCAACAAAAAGAACTTTAAACGAGAAACCTATAGATGAACTTCTTTTGAAAGCAGATATTGACAACAAAGCTGACAAAGAGTATGTTGACGATGAGTTAGCACGTGTGGCTAGTGCGTTAGTGAAGAAGGCAGATAAGGAATATGTGAATGAAAAAGATGAAAAAATTATAGAAAGGGTTGAATGGTACCATGAACGGACAACAAAGATTTTAAAAGGTAAAGCCGATACAGGGTGGGTTTCAGGATGTTTAGACCTTAAAGCGGATAAGAACCATACACATACCATTGCAAATATTACAAACTTACAAGAAACCTTAAACAGGAAAAGTGACGTTGGACATACACATACCATTGCAAATATTACAAACTTACAAGAAACCTTAAACAGGAAAAGTGACGTTGGACATACACATAGCTTCTTCACAACTGTTGGTATAGAAAATATTGAAGGAACGGTTGAAGAAACTGGTGGGGATGCAATATATTGTAAACCTCCTAACTTTCCACAAGGTTTAACATCGGATGACGACATAACAACGATGAGAAACATTAGATGTAGAGATGTTTATGTCATGGAGGATGAACATAATATTAAATTCACTGCTCAAGATTTATATGACAAGAAAGCAGACAAAACAGAGCTTCAAACATTAAAGACAGAAATACTTCAAACCATTTACCCAGTTGGTTCTATTTATACGTCAATGAACTCTACCAGACCAGAAGTAGTACTTGGTTTTGGAACTTGGACTCAAATACTCGAAAGTTTTTTGTATTGTGCACACACTCCAAAGAAAACAGGTGGAAGTAAAACGATATCTGTCGACAACTTGCCACCACATAGTCATTCTGGTACAACAAGTTCTAATGGAAACCATAGTCATAGGGTTTGCAAACAAGGATATAACACTGTTTCTCAGACTTCAATGCAAATTCAAGTTATGTCAAGATCTCATTTTCCAAACGACCCAGTAGACTGGAATGGAATGTGGACAGATACAACTGGAAACCACCAACATACTTTTACAACAACATCTACAGGACTAGGTAAAAAATACATGCCACCTTACATGACAGTTTGTGCATGGTATAGAATTGCTTAGTCGTCATTTTCAACTTCTTTAGCATATTCGTCAGGAGTTGTCTTATATTTGTTAGGAACTGTCTTTGAAAGTATACCACCTTGAACTTTAACAAGTTTGAAACGAGGTCTGACAATAGTAGTTTTATCTTCTGCTTGCAGTCTGTACATTTTGCCATGTTTGCCTAAAACTTCATAATATTCTCTTGTATACTTTCTTCTATTTTTACGAACACGAATGCGAGTACCTGTCGAGTTCCCATTGTTGTCATAGTCAATAGTATTTTCATATGGGTCGCGTTTAGGTATTTCTATTTTTACTTTGTCACCTTTCTTAAGTTTGAAGCCTGGCATTCTTTCTTGTTTGTCTCTTTTGACTAAACTATTAAATATATAGTCTTTCTCTAAGTCAGGGTTGTTTTTCATTTCTTCGGGGGAGTGGTTTCCCAAACCTTTTTGTTTACGGCTATTGTAAATATTTAAAACTTGTCTCATCTTTGCCTGGGAGAAGTGTCTATATTTGTCGTCATATGACATTTCATTTGCTTCACCACCTTGTGGTTGATTTAAGTCTCTTAAGATTTTTATACAACTGTCAATGACACCAAGAGCAGAATGGTTTTGGTCGACAATGAAATATTGGTTTACATTTTTTGAACGCAGATAGTTTTTAATATCGTCTGATTTGAAAGAACTTTCACAGTCAGATGTCAGTTTTGTTGGATGGTATTTGTCAACGAATATTGTCAAAGCAGTTTTCACATCTAAAATATTTTTGGACCATAATGGTATGGCTTCACAGTATCTTGTGTTTTGACCGACAAATATTAGCCAGTATGGTGGTCCATCTTCTCTATACCTCGGAATGTTTTCCAAGATATCCATAAACCAAGCATTTGGTGTTGAACTAAAGATTTTTATCATGAGTGCTTTCTTTGTTGCCTTAGAAACATAGGGGTCCTTGTTTGGATTCGTCATTTTTACCCTATAAGAAATGGGTTTATTTGGCGCATTAGCAGGAGTTGCATCCAGATTTTTACCCGCAGTGGGAACAATAGCCAGAGGTGTATTTGGAGTTGGAAGGAAGATTTTGAGTACATTAGGTATACTGAAAGAGAAAGCACAACCTATTATACAAACCGTACAGAAAGGTTGGGAGGTAGCACGAGATGCAGCAAATCTTATTCCAAATCCTGAAACAAGAGGAAAAGTTCAAGGATGGATGGACAATGTAGGAAGACAAGCAGGAAACTATTATAACAAAGCAAATGACTACTATAACCAAGCAGGACACTATATGGACCAAGGTGAAAGATTCTTTAACAGAGGATATAACCATGCACAACAATGGGTAAACAATAACCAACCTCAACCGCCTCAAACGTGGGAATGTAAAGTTTTTTACTGAGATGAAATGAACAATACAGCATTGAGACAAATGGGTTCAAGATGGATTTGTCGGCTTCCAGCAGTTACACAACCACGTGTTTGTCAAGTTCTTCCTATACCTCAAGAAGTTTTAGACCGACTTAAAAAACCTAAACAACCAGTTGAAAACAAACCAAACTAAAATTTTTTACTGAGATGAAATGACCGAAGAAGTTGAAACGGTAGATTTGACACCACAAACAAAAAGTTCAGAACCATTGTCAAAACCTGTCAAAGAACTTACAGATGAAGAGAAAAATTCAATAATAGAAAGTGCCAGGTCTGGAAATACAAACCCTAACTACAAAGTCACTTTTCATAGAAATGGAACGGCTAGTATCTCAAAAAAGAAACAGACTCTCACAAATAAAATATTGAAGTCTGAAGGAGTTAAAGAGACAACAGATGGGAAGGTATACTTCACTGACCAACAGTTCATTATAGAACATCTCATTGACTTAGAGTCGAAATATTCTAAACTTTACAACAAACACAAAAAGTTGAAAGGAAAACAAAAACAAATGGCATATGATATTTATGAAGATACTAACGACACAACCATACCTGCAAGTGAGGTAAAGTCAGAGGAACCGAAAAGTGACGAAAAACAGATAGAAGAAGGTGAGCCAAAAACTGAAGATAAACCAAAACCAAAGGTTAGTTTCCAAACTAAACCAAGTCAACCTTCATTAGCTGGTATGGGTTGGCGTCAAAGGCTTCTGGTAGCAGGAGGTTATGTAAAGTAAAAGAAAACAGTATATTTTTCAAAAAAATATTTTTTTTATTTTATTTGAAATGTACGCCGAGTTTGTTGGAACAGACCGTTGGGAAACTTGTTTGTTAGATGAGAAATATGAAATTCACTGTTGTGAGTCATTTGAAGTCAGAAACAAAAAGACAAAAAGAGTTTTAAGCGAATGGGAGCAAAAATACGGATATGCTATTATGAAGATGGGTGGAAAACACTATTTTAAACATGTTGTCATTGCAACTCATTTTATACCGAACCCTAACAATCTACCTCTTGTAGACCATATAAACCGTATAAGAAACGACAATAGACTTGAAAACTTACGCTGGGTCACTCGTTCTGAAAACAATAAGAACATAGGCAAAATTGGAGATATTGTATTCGAATTTGTCGACGAACTAGAAGATGAAGCAATTGAAATTACAGACTATGGTAAGCATACGTTGGAGTTTTACTACTATAGCGAAGAACAAGACTCTTTCTACTTTTATACCGGCGTAAACTATAGAAAATTACAAGTATGTTTTACTAAGGCGGGCTATGCTTATGTAAACGCTAGAGATACAGATGGAAAATACGTTAGACTATATCTTAACAAATTCAAGAAGCTATATGGCATACCATTTTAAAACAGTATTTTTTTATTTTTATAAAAAATGCCTCTATATAGAATGGATAGAAAATCTGCTAGAATAAAAGCAGAGTTGCAAAGATATGGTTGGAGAGTTTCGAAGAATTTTAAATATAGGAAGGGAAGACCCATAAAAGTCTATGACAAACTGGCTGGTCTGACCTACGAAATGGACCTTGAAACAGCACGCGCCAACTATCCAAACAGACTGGAGAGGTTAGAAGAAGAACGTCTTATGGACATGCCTTTCAATGTTAGTGAACCTCAAGTTGAAGGACACGACGGCTTTGCCAGATTCTACTGGAAACATGACGAACAATTGCATCCTTTGAGAAGGAAAAAAGGAAAAGGTGAAGACGCACATGCTCCCATGGAAAGAACAAGATATGCATATGAAAAGTACCGTGAAGTTAGAAGTCAAATTACTTCTGGTCGAACCTTTACAGTAAACTTTGACGAAGGAAAGAACAAAGAAGGCTTCATGGGTGTACTTGCTGCCATACAAGACGGAAATAAGAAAGGATACAATCTCAGACTAACCGTAACAGATTTGGACGGTCATATATACTATGCGCATGGCAATGTCACAACAGCTGCAATGCTTCTTGACGCTTTCAAGACTACAAAGAGAGAACAAATGGTTGATTCCGACTCAGACATCCTGAATGCAATTGAAGGAATTGTAAGTGTCAAGTTCGAATGGTACAAACGTAACCCTCAAGCAGTCAGACAACTTGTTTGTTAGATGAGAAATATGAAATGGCATACCATTTTAAAACCATATATTTTTACATATATTAAATGTTTCAGGTTGAAAAACAAAGAACAAAAGTAGCAGATACAAAACCGTTAGACTATATCTTTACAAACGCTGGTAGGACTATTTCAGATGAAGAAATTTCATCCCGTACTTACAGGTTTGACTTTCCAATTCGTTGGCTTCAAAGTCCTTCAGATGCAAAGGCAATAGGATTTAGAAGAGTTTTGTTTTCAAATAGAACTAACGCATTTATGTTCGCAGTATATTTTCATGGGCAATATGAAGGTTCTGATGGTCTAATAGACAAATTTGACGAAATGAGAATCTTTACAATTCGTTCAGACGAAAACCTTGAGAAGACTCTAAATGACTTTCAAACTCAAATAAACAAATACTACTGGGAATTTCAAGAAAAATACGATTCTTTACTAAATGGAACATACTATCTGAAACTAGAATATGACAAGATGAACTCCACAGTTTCATTTCAAAGGATTGAAAATAACCCTCCAAGAAGTACACAGTTTTTATTTTGGGAAGTAGACAAACGTTCTTGGGCACAATTTCTTCGGTTACTAAACCAGAACGAACCATTACCACCTGACGGTCCGTTTAAATTTATACGCCCACCAACAGATTTGACAGTTTATAAAAACGTGTTTGACCCTCAAAATGTTATGTGTCATGCAAGTTTCAGTTCAAGCAACAATAGTTTTCTATGTATTGGTAAGGACTTTTATGACTTTGCTTCTAAATTCTACGAACCACCTAGTAACAGTTTCTCTGACTTTCAAGTTTGGTTCACAACAAACGGTGTGCAGCATATAATACCATTGTACTATGACTTTTATCTCGAATTGTCTTTCATATACAACTACGGAAAAGTGCTGAAAAAGTATTGAAAAATATATTTTAGGGTAGAAGGGTATATCTACCCCGTTTTCTACCCTCTTTTCTACCCTCTTGAATTTTCATGAAATTTCCTTAAGATAGAAAAAAATATATTTTAGTTTTATTTTTTTTAAGTTTGGTCATCCTTCACTGTATGACAAATATACTATATTTTACTTAAAAATATGCAAGCGGCTCATAGCTCAGTGGTATGGGCTACCTCGCTACAGGCGTCGAAGACCTCGGTTCAAATCCCGATTCGCGCAGGTTTTTTCCTTTTATGCAGTGAAATTTCATGTACATAGGTTACTTTGGTGTTAGACCCTAGTGAAGAAAATAGAACGATAGGAGTTTACATTTGTAAAGTTACTTTGGTGTTAGACCCTAGTGAAGAAAATAGAACGATAGGAGTTTACATTTGTAAAGTTGGACGATAAAAATCTCTGCTACTAGCAGTACTGCTACTGACAGTAAAAGTACTGCTACTGTCAGTAAAAGTACTGCTACTGTCAGTAAAAGTACTGCTACTGTCAGTAAAAGTACTGCTACTGTCAGTAAAAGTACTGCTACTGTCAGTAAAAGTACTGCTACCGTCAGTAAAAAGGAAAATTTGAGAGGGTTTTCGACGATAAAAATCTCTGCTACTGTCAGTAAAAGTACTGCTACTGTCAGTAAAAGTACTGCTACTGTCAGTAAAAGTACTGCTACTGTCAGTAAAAGTACTGCTACTGTCAGTAAAAGTACTGCTACCGTCAGTAAAAAGGAAAATTTGAGAGGGTTTTCGACGATAAAAATCTCTGCTACTGTCAGTAAAAGTACTGCTACTGTCAGTAAAAGTACTGCTACTGTCAGTAAAAGTACTGCTACTGTCAGTAAAAGTACTGCTACTGTCAGAAAAAGTACTGCTACTGTCAGAAAAAGTACTGCTACTGTCAGTAAAAGTACTGCTACTGTCAGTAAAAGTA